ATAATGATTATAATTTATTCTCTCTCTATTGCTTGGGATTTTATTCACTATAGAGTCATCATTTTATGAAGTGCTCCTCTTGAAAGGTAGGCTTGGTGGGGCTCTGAACCGCAAATAACTGATATACTGAAGTCAGTATGGCAGCACTGATAACATTTGATAGTAACAATTGGCAGGATTGGGTCCAACATTTTTTAATACTATTTTGAAGTACAATAAATTTGCTGGGTTTTCCGTATGAGTTTAAGTAGTCATTGATATGATATACAAAAGCTTTTAGACTTCTGAGTTTTCACTGGAACTGTGGATACTTCTATTTTCAACAGCAACAAAAAGCCTGGTTGTCTCAAATAACGTTCTGTGAATAACATTCATGTAGCAGCAACTTGTCACTATGTATATTTGTTTGAAAAGACAATTGATGATCTTTTAGGGATATAACAAAATAGATCTTATTAAATACGTCCTTTTAGAAAAATTGGCTGTATTTATCGTGCTCAGAATCTCAGCCTAAAAGCTTTTATTATTGTTAAGTCAAGCTCTTACACAACTGATGATTAGTAGAAATATTTCTGGAACTTTGTTTTTACTTTATTGCCAATCATGATACTTGATTTTAATATGAATGTTCTCAGCTTAGTTTCATCTTTGTTCCTGTCCTCCTTCTCTCTGCTGCAGTCTTTGGTGATCGTGTTGATTTCCACCCATTCCCTGAACCTTTTATCTGGATACCATTTTCTGCACCCAGATGTTTATGTACTAAAACAGATTGTGGGTTTTGCCTTTTCCCTGGGTAACACTATGACATCTGTATTTAGTTTTTTGCTGCTGCTGTTGTTTTCAAGTGTGTGCTGCCATCTATGGAGTAATCATTGAAATAAAGCTGATGTAAAAAGAGGTTTTATCAAAAGGTTATGGAAAACAAGATCTACCTAGTGGAGGAGATATCATAGGGCAGTTGGGCAAATCTCAAGAAATCTTGTTTTTCTGTAGTCCCAAATCTCACACCAAGCACAGGTGACAGTATACCATTTAGAAAATCAGTGACTTCTATGAGTTAAGTTATTCAGTAGATCTTTTTATACTGGACGAACTCTCAGGGCAGCCTGAAAATTAGAATAAGGGTTGCTTTGTCCTCTAATCCTGTAACTTGTTCCTTTTCCTTCCCCACTACCTTTCACATGTCCTAGTCCTTCAGCGGTTCCCAAAATCTGGGGGTTTTTTTCATTCGTTTTTTAAAGCTGAATTTTAATTACTTAGTCTTCCCTAGTGTCTTGTTAACTGGCTTCATGACTCTCCTCTGTGTCCAGTTTCGACCAGCCAGGTTCCAGGTTTCCCTCCTTCAGGTCCCTTCAGAATGCAGTACTGAAGATCAGTCCCCATTGTCTCACTCTTTCATAACATTTTGTAGCTTGCTATCTATTTTGGAGTATACATTTATTGCAATACATTTATTCAAGTTGGTCTGGAAAGCACTTGGAGAAGTAATTTTCTCTGTACTTTTATGAAGTGCCCATGGGGTATGGGTACGTGCATAGAAGCTATCTGCTTTTATCTTGATACTGTTCACATGCTTTTCAGCATGCACGGTTTTTACTAAAGTTTTTAGCACCTTACAACCTTGGTTAGGGTTAGGTCTATTGAGTTCCTGGAAATCAGATTTCTATTCATTGGCATTAGGAGATGTGACAGAGAACAGCTACGTCTTTAGGTCTTTTTCCTTGGCAACAACAGTGTTGGAGTGGGGTTATATTTAACCACTACTGCATAAATGCTTTCTTATAACACAAGATATCAGAATCAAAAGGAAAAGTTTAACCTATATGGATGAAGCATTCTTAAAGACATCTTCTGACATTTTCTTCTTACTGCTGAACTTAGAAATTGATCTTATTTCCCAGCATCAGAGACAAAATGAAGAAAAAAAATCAATGCTGAAGATTGATCAATGTTTTTCAAAACTGACTTAATAACATAAAAATCAATGCAGCTGTATTCTTTGCCATTATTTTATCACCAACATCATTCAAACATGGTAATATTTGATTCTTAAGTCAAATATGAAAATATTTCAGTTACCTCCTACAGAGGCAAAAAAAAATTAAGAAGGAGGGGTTTATTTAGTCAAACTTTAGTTTTCTTTTTAATCCTAATTTTGGACCTTTGAGTTCTACAGAAAATGAAAACAGTTTCATATTTTAAATGCCACTATATAATTGTTCCTTTAATCACAGAGATTTAAATAGAACAAATTATTACTTGTATTTGCAAATTACAAGCTCTGATCCTCCCTTCCTCCTGCAAATAGCAATTACATCTTGCTTGGTTGAAAGATCTGTGTTCGAAAACTTGAAGATAAGCTCGGACACCTAATTTCCCCTGTGACAGACTTGCAGTGTTTTGACTTTAGAGCCTTACTGTACTGTACATTGGCTGATTAATCTTTTTCGGCAAAAATAAGCAGGTCATTTGGGGCATTTTGTTTTTTTTTTTTTCCCTGTTATGACCACTTCCCTTTTCTATCCCCATTGTCCCCAGTAATATTAAGAACCCTTACTGATGTATTTAAAGAACAGTTTTTTAAAATGTCTTGTGTAATATTATTGAACCAATCTCTAAGCCTTGAGTTTGGCTTAACAGTTGAGAGGTTTTTTTAAAAAATAATTTGCATTTTTATATTTTAGTTCCTCTTTACTTGCTGTCTTGGGTTTAGCCCTTTGGGCTTCTAGTTTGAAATTTCTCTTAACTGAGGGCTAGAAAATGTCATTTTAGGGAAGAAAGTCAAGATTCTCACATAATCACTGGGATGTGTGAACTGGGATTTTTAGGGAAGCATCAGATAGTGAAAGACTCCTGATAAAATCCTAGATACTGGCGAGCCTCTGGTAATGACTTCTTTTGTTTTAAAGATTTATTCCATGAGAATAGAAAGACAGATTTCTGCATAAATGTCTTATTGAATTGAATCCTTTTCTGTAAGCTGGGCCAGAATGTCATAAACTAGGAAATGCAAACCTAATAGTAGGTAGACAGTTTTTGAGAATACAGGACTTAATCAGTTCTCTGTTGGGCCAGTTACTTTTACCTCTCTTTTTCATATTCCTTAACTAATTGATAAATGTAGTGAGTTTGCTACTCTCCTAGAATAGCTCTGAGCAGCAGCACGTACATTCACTGGGGACAGTCCCACCCCTTCATTCTCTCCTTCATCATAAACCTCTTTATAGACAATATCTGTGATCACATAACGAGAGAGCTTGTACTTACACCTCTCCTCTCCCTTTCCTCCTCCCTCTGTACTGTGAGAGAGAAGTAGCATGGCATATTGCATAGCTAAAAGGTTATCAAGCCTGAATTTGTTACACCTCTGATTTTGGCAGGCAAGCCTTCACAACCACTACAGAAATACATGGCTCATCACCACGTGAAGCTGGACACCCTGAGAAGATAGATGATATTGGATTGGTTTTCTTGTTGCTCTGCAAACAATCAAACAGGCTTAAGCTATGCAATCTGATATTCCCTAATTGACAGCTTTTCCAAGGTTCATTTGTTAACTGAGAGCATGACATGTATTGAAGTTGTTTCTTCATAATGCATTTGGCATTAACAGGATAAGCTGTTGAATGCCTCAGACATCGACATCTCAGCAACAAGATACTTCCTCTCCAGTTTTGACTTTCTAACTAGTGACCTTATATTTGCAAAGGCATTTGGAATGAGCATATCAGAGGACAGGACGTAAGAAAAAAGCTTAAATACATTCCCCAAAACTAAATTTGTGAGAAAGTGGTTTTTTGCTGCTTACAACATTTACCTGAGATTTATGGTTCAACTGTTCTTTTTTCTTTTGGTATAAAACCTTGGTTTCTTGCTTAACAAAGTATTCATTTAATACTTATTGGGTTTCAGATGGTTCTTTTATTTTGGTAGATTAATAAATAGGCATATCTGATTTTATTTATAGTGATGAAGAATTTTTGTGTATAAGACGTGTTCAAGGGTTTGTTGACTGTGTATCCACAAGGGAAGAAAATAAAACCCCAAAGAAACCTGTTTCAGAGAAGCCTAACCTTCCCCCAGATGAAGCCCATGTTTATTTGAAAGAATAAATTACCTGTGTAGAAGGGACCAGAGGATGATTTCTCCACTGTTCTTGTTGCTGTTTTGCATTTGCTGTTTTCTTGTAGCCAGTTTTAATAAACACTTTGTTTCTTAGAATGCAAATTGTGGATGAACTCTAACATTCAGCTTTTTCTTTTTTTGTCGTTGTGTAAAAGATTTCCACTATCTACTCTTCCTTGCAGCTGTTCATATGCTGATGCCTGGCAAGATGTTCACACAGGGTCTATAAGTACTAATTAAGAGCTTGGTCACAAATCCATCATCATTAATAGCTGCTGCTTCTCCCGCATCCCATGAATTTGATAGTTGCAAGATGAATTTATCTTAGATGTACAAAAAAAAGTCGTTTAATTTCACTTTGTTGTTCTTAGTTAATGTAAGCATGTTACTCTAAATACCTAGGTTAAATTCTCTAGCACCTAGTTAAATTTCTGGACGTATTCTTCCTTCTGGGAAGAGTACATGCCTGGAGAAGTACATGAAATTTTCCAGATGTTGTCAAAATAATGTAGGAGTTTCAGTGGTGCTTTGGCTGGCATTGTTTAGGAAGTGAAACACAGCTGTTTAGGTGAAGAAAAAATGAATGAATGGGTCAGGATGCCTTCATTTCACCAGAGTAAAGAGCCTAGCTTTGACAGAAGTGCCTCTTCAAAAAATGCCAGTGAAAAATAAGCAAAGCCAGATTCTGCTTCGAAAACCCCAGAAACAAACCTTTGAAAGCCCTGAGGTCTGGAACCTAAGCATATGTCTCTCCTCCCTCTGTGAACATCAATGACCTGAATTCCTACAGCCAAATATTCCTGAGCCTTTGGGGGAAATTCTGGAACTGTCTCCTTCTAAGTGCTTTCTGTTTTATTTGCAAGGTCTGTTGGCAAATGCCGTTTGGGTCCCTGGCGAGCCCTGACTCCAGAGGCCCTTCTGTCTTGCAGGGCAAGCACAAGCTGCATGTGGACACGGGACTGGAAGGTGACTGGTGTGGCCTCATCCCCATCGGGAACTCCTGCGAGAGCGTGACCACGACGGGCCTCAAGTGGAACCTCAGTAAGTCAGACACCTCCGGGACGGTGGGTTTGACATTATCCTAACCACACATTTACACCAGCCTCACCAGTGCTGAAGGTTCTTGTGTGTTTGAAGGTGGAACAAGGCATTGAATCCCTGCCAGGCCATTTTTTTCTAGAAATGAAGTTTAAAAAAAAAAAAAAGAGAGAAATGTATTTAAACCTGAGATATCACAGGCCAAAATGCGTTTTCCATTTGGGAGTCATTGTGCTGGTTAAATAGAACATTTGTTGAGGTCATGATACATTACCATCTTGATACATTGCCCTCCAGGGAGGGGAAGCTGTGAGTCCCTAAACTCCTGGTTATAAGCTATAAAGTTACAACAGACAAATAATAATGTGATACAGATTATTAAAGCTACATCACTTCCCCTGAACCACTTCATGTATATTGTCTATTTGTCGACTCTGAATGTGTAGATCTTCTTCTTATTTTGAAGTGGGAAAAGGTGCATTTGATCTACAACAGGGACATTTATCTTGACCAAAAAAACCTGAAACCATCTTTATCCTCCTGCCCCCTCCTCCCACACTGGGTCATTCAGGATGTATTTACTCAGGAAAATAATGGGATATCTTAGATAAAGGTTCATTAAAACTTAAGGGAAGAAAAGCAATAATTGAGATACTTTTTTGGTAAATCTTGCAGTCTGATTTACATGGCCAGACCTTAGAACCATCGCATGTAGAAAAGGCACGTGGTGCTCACAGTTTGCAGTGCAGTGCCCTCATTGACTAGTAATTAATCTGAGGTTGACCCACTGTGCCAGCCAGCAGCAGGTGTGCTAGTCTAGGGAGTGTCTTGTTCCACTGGGGTATTGAGCACGTGCAGTTAAGGAGGTGATAGGCATTAGTAGGTCACTAACGATAAAAGATATAAATATGGCATTAATTTCAAGATGTGAGAGACTTGTCAGGTGACTTGTCTGACTAGTGATTTTAAGAGCTGATGTGGACCTATGGGGTTTTTTATTACACTTAATTCAGTCCTTTTTTTTTCTTTTTCTGGGAGATAAAAAAGTATTTAAGTGACTGTTTTCTACTTGCTTCATGTTAACATGACACCACCATCTCTGCTTCTCCCAGTCCTTGTTGCTGTCTGTTTCCAAGAGGAAACCTCAGACCTTTACACTGTTTTCCTTAGTTTTGTGTCTACTGCACCCCATTACAGGCTACACTTTCAGTCTCAGTATTCATGTTTGTCACAGGTCATAGTTCCTTCATTTATTTCTCTGCATTATCATCACAGATATATAAGAACAAAAATGATCTGGTCTTCCTTGAAGATGTTCAATCTATGTGAGCTGCCAAGGTCATTACAACCTGAAATTGCTCTTGTGCCCAGGTAACTAGAGCTAACCTTTACTCATCCAAATACAGACTTTGAATCAGGTAATTGTTCAGATGACACTGATAAAACAAATTAAAGTGTAGCTGCATCCCCCAAAAGGGAAACCAATATCTCAGATACAGCACGTGATTAGTTGTGCCTTGGTTGGGTTTCTTCCCTAATAAATAAGCCTTGCATTCAGATAACTTAAGTTTGATATTAGCTTTCATTGTGTTCACAACTTCTGTGCTGCCTGTGGTTTTGCAGTTACTTTAAAAAATGTTAGTCCTCCAGTAGATTGTGGTGAAGAAGCAAAGGCTCACCTGGGAAGAAAAGGGAATGAGAAAATACCGAAGTATGACATGGATGTCAGCATTGCTGCTGATGGCTGGCAGTGGCAGAGCTTTCCCTGTTCATTTGTTAGTGGCACACACCTTCATAAACCTCAATGGATAAAATGGTTTGGTTATAAATTATTTTCATGAAAGAAATAGCATTTTTAAGGCGAACATGACATGAAAGACCCTTTTCTCCAGTTTGTTTTTTAATTAATAGAATATGACCAAACAAGTTGATTTTTTAAAAGTTGATTTTTTAAAAGTAATTTTTGAGTCCTCAAAATATTTGTTTTAAGTGTCTGGGTGATAAATTAATTCCAGAATTTTAGTTCTGTCTGAACAGTCAAAAACGATGTGTTAGGTGAGAGGAGAGCCCTCACTTTTGCAAACAATAATTTCCAGCAACTCAAAATGCAAATAACACTGCATTGCAAGAAGGAGCTGGCTTTGCATCAAGGTTTTTAATGTTTAATACTAATGTCTGTCTGAGCATATCTAAATTACTCTGCTGATTAAAATTTGTAAAACCTTCAAGGGGTAGTCAAATATTATCTGTGTCTACAGGTTCTGTCAAGAGACTTCATAGCCTCTGAATGGAAAAAGGCAGGGATAAATACCTAAGACAGAAGCTGTGTTGGGGTTGAGAGTAGGCTACCAGAGGTCTCATTTCAGTGGCTGAATTAGATAAACCTCAAATCTGTAAACTACTCTGCCAGCAGAGAAATAATGATATTGAATATTTTAATATTGCAGAATTCAGTATTTTTTGTGTGTCTGTGTGAAGATGCAACATTTATGCATGCTTTTATGCTTGCTTATCTTAGTTATTTGCTAGCACTTGGCACAAACAGAACTTTCATTTATTTTAGTTCTCATCTTATGGGTGAAAGAACTTGGAGAAGAAAGTGGAAAATTGATTAGAGAAAATATTTTTTATCCATACTTGCTATTGTGCAGCACACATTCAGAACACATTATAAACTTATTCTTTCCACTCCCAAAGGGATACAGATCTTTTCTCTATTAAAATCTGATTTACAGCCCAGGAATCAGGTAATGCTTTATCTGATTTGACTCACCTGGGTGCTTGCTGATAACAGCTCCCATGTCTAATAAATAAATAATGAAAAATCCAATAACGCCAGAACTACCCCGCATTCTTCATTAGGTCCTCAGTGATGCTTTCATGGAAGGTGCGTAAGAATGAAGGTAGAAATCACCTGCACTGTTCATCATAGAAGAGGTTGGAGGGTAATGGTAGGCTCTTCTAGGAAATGGTTCCTTTTCTAGGAAATTACTGTAGAAAATAATCTTGTCAACTAATTTACTCTTCATCCCTATGGCCTGTGATATGCTGTATGTCATACCTGTACTGAAAATGTCAGCATATCTATATAAACTGTGTATGCATGTGATTGTGCTTTCCAGCTAATTTTCATGCAAATTTGCTTGTTTAGGCAGGAAGTTAAATTGCTGTAAAATGCTACCATTCAAAAGACCACCACTGTCATTTCACTTCAAAAGGCAATAGCAATAGTAACAGGAGCAAGACCTTTCTCTAACTGTAGCAACAGAACATCCACTGACTACTAACTTCACAGGTAGATAAGCAGGATCCAAAATCTTTTTGATGCTGTTTACATTGGTAGTAAAATTGAAATATTTACACTATTTTTTTCACTGTTTTATGTCATTCGGGTTTTGTTGACATTGCATTGTGAATGGAACAAAAAGATTACAAAAGCGGTGGGGTTTTATGTCTTAGGAGAAATGCAGAGTCAAAAAGACAAAAGAAAATTAGTAACTCTCTCCTTAAAAAAAGCCAGAGGGTGAGGGACTGTTCTGGAAAAGTCTGTAAATTAAGATGGACAAGGTATCTGTGCACTATTGAAGCAACTTGTATAAGCACTCTGTAACCTGTTTCATAACTGAAATAATTTATATGGCACATTTTGCTGCCCCAGTTCATTCTGACTGAGGCAAACTAAGCGGCGTGCCCGGGAGTAGCTCTGTTTCCAGTGGTGGAGTAAAAAGCTTCACAGCTGGATTCGCCTCTCCTCTGCTTTCCTCTCCTTCAATCCCTTCGCATGTTCTTCGCTGGTAGAAGACTCCCCGTCCATCAACTGGGTTCTATCTTCAGAGCTTCAGTGATGTATTTTTTCCCTTACTACAGCTCTAAGACCCTGGGTAAGGCAGGATGACAGAAATGATGCTGCTGCTCCCAAAGCTTCAGGCGTTTTTGACCTTTTGTGAGCTATTTGCCTGCAGTAGTGCTGCTGTCTGCCTTCCAGGGTCACATCATTTATTACGAGGTGACGCCTGCTGAAATACTTTTCCAATAAAGCAGATGTTCTGATGGTGGCAGCCTGGCATCCCACTGGTTTACTGCAAGTCAGCAAAAGCAACGAGGGCATTGCTTAGCATTGCATGAAATTATTTCGAACCAAAAAGACCATTTGGCATACATTAAAGGACTGATGAACACAGAGCTCAGTTGTGCTGGGCCCCTAAAGCTGTATTTGCATTTTTTCTTGAACAGCAGCTTGAAAACTCAGTCAAACTTTGTGAAGGTGCTTGAAACAGGGATTTGAAGGCATATGTTCAGTCCATCTCCACATATTTCAATGAATGTTTGGAATTAGTGGGAGGGAGATTTGGTTCCAGCTCTTCTTTAGCAGGGTAGCAGGGTCCTGGCTTTCAGTTGGAAAGGCTGCTTTAAGGTGATAAACAGGTATGCTCTTCCAGATGACACTGTTGGGGCAACATTACTGCTGTAGGACTCCACTTACGGGAAGATTCATGTGAGTACCTTAGTTCCGAACTAGCTCAAACCACTTCCTGCAGTAAGCTTAGCCCAGCTGGATGGCCATATTTAACGGGACACGGGGAATGTATATATGATCCTTCCATACAGGAGTAATAGGCAGTAACTGCAAGGAACAGGTAGAAGAAAAAAACCTGAGAGAGACTTCTCCAGCACAGCTGTGCACAGAGTGGATGGCTTTCCACAACCGAATACCATTGCAAAGTAAACTGGAGACATACATGTCAAGCTGCATTGCCGTGGCACATCATTGCAACTATGGAAACTAATTTTGGTATTAATATAGAGGTGAGAGGGTTGTCAAGAGAGCAAAATGTTGTTCTTTCCCTTGCATCCCCTCTGTTACCTCAGCCCCTCTTTTTGCTAATGGGAATGTGACCTGGAGGTATGAGGAAATAGGTGCTCTGCTTCAGCCCAGCTTTGGTGCCGATAATCTTCATCTCTCTGGTGGCAGTAGATTGGTGAGAATAGTAAAGTCACAGGAA